GCTGACACGCCGTGACATAACTTGAATAATGTTAAAAGCGACGTTAAACCCAACTCACTCACTCACTTACTCACTCCCTCGATCGCATATCGTGGACTGATTAACGTGGAGGCTCTTCATGACAGAATTGTATTGTGCACTTTGCACACATTTATTTGTCTGATGATCCTCTTCTAAAGCATGTCATGGCTCATGATGAAAACAGGGCATTCAACAGTTTCCTGAAAGGCGCCAAGTCTGTGTGACATAATCTCCGTGTCTTGTTTGTTTGTCTATTTGTTGTTTAACGCCGCACTCATAAATATTAAAGCTATATGACGGCGGTCTGTAAATAATCGAGTCTTGACCAGACAATCCAGTGATTGACATCATGAGCATCGATCCACGTAATTCGGATACCATGACATGCATCAGCCAAGTCAGCGAGCCTGACCACCCGATCCCGTTAGTCGCCTCTTACGACAAGCATAGTCGTCTTTAACGGCAAACATGGCTGAAGACCAATTCTACACCGGATCTCCGCGGGTCCCACATTTATAGTTGTTATTCTAAATAAATGACGTGTTGAACGAGTGCCAATGAGGAGCGCCTCTTTTTTTCTCGCCATAGAGTGTCAGCATATTTCCTTTGGACCATTCCTTCACATTGTTGAAACACACAAATATCTTTGTTGCTCTCTGGACTGACAGTGCAGATGAGCTAAAGTTGTCAAGTAGCCGTTTAGTCATCTGCATAGAAATGCCTGTGAAGACTATGTTTCTCGATGACATTGCCGAGCTGGATTGTATAAAGTGTGAAAGGCACAGGTCCTAGAACTGAGCCCTGAGAGACACCTACAACAGCTTGACAGGTCTGGAGGATGAGCTATCCAGAATGACGGCGTATGTGGTGTATATACACACTGAGCTCAAACAAATCTCAGAATGTCGTCGAGCTCATCAGTCAGAAACATCAAGCTCAAAACCGAGCTGGTCTAAACTGTCATCATTATCATCATTATCATCATCATCATCATCATCATTATCATCGACGTTGTGGTCGTAGTCATCAACATTGTCATTGTAACTTGACTCTCTAAATAGCTCAGTATTTTTCAAGATGCCACTGGAAGTTTCAGGCCAAGGTGAAATATTGTCACAGTTTGAACACAGAAAGAACATTTCATGTTTTTACTTTTAGAGCATTTTCCGTTTGGCAGGAGAGACAGTGATTCAAATTTTCGCTTTCTGGAATATCTCTCAGATAAGACTGTTTATTGTTTTTTTCCTGCAGATAAGACAATATTGTTGCCTTAGAAAAATCATTATGCTTGATTTGTTAGATGAAACCTGATTGTTTACATTAGTGGAAGATGAAAAATTGTTATTGACACAAAGATTTAATCTAAGATAGCGTTTAGAACTGGGTTCGTGATCATAAATTGTGCTATTTGACCCCTCAGTGGTGTTCTTTCTTACTGCCCTTTTCTTGGCTGCATCAATCTTTGTACGGTCAGTATATCTCATACAAGTAGAGATTACTGCAGTGCATCATATGTTCTCCGCCGTATAATGCCATATGCAGAGAAAGGAAGTGTAAGCACGGGGAGGAGAGGATTGTTGTAAAGTTTAGATTGGTTGTTATTAATGTAGTTATCTTTGGAAAGCACAATAAAAGAAACAGTGTCTTTAAATAGTCAGCACAAGGAAAACCAAGGCAAGAAAACACATAACTGGGCCTGTCAGGCAGAACTTGGTTTATACCCACTATTAGTAGCAATTATATAAAAAATAATTAATTACAAGTCCTATACAGATAACACAACAAATGTCATTCTTAAACATGATTTGGCAGAAAATATCAATTTTTCTGGTCAACATGTTGGCTGGGTTAAATAAAACAAACTTTTGAAATAGTAAACACAAATAAATGTAATGAATCCACTGTAAATGAACTTCAGTCCAAATGTAAAAAAATATGTTCATGCATTCATAAAGGGATTCCCATTCATCCAACAGCAAGGTCAGAACATACAGGTTGGTCAAGTCATCTATAAATATGGAAACTTATCTTACATATTGTAAAAACAAAACTCATAGGTCACATTTCTCAAAACTCACAAACTAAAAATTCAAACGGGTAGATATACAAAAACACCAACCCCATTTGAACAACGTCTCTGTGAAACATGTAATGTCTTAGAAGACGAGTAACGTTATGCACTGTCTTGTATAAAATACAACAGGGAAAGATAATCCCAAATACTACTCAATCATGATAACGGATATGGTACACTCTGTTAAAAGAAATATTTCTTTATCATTTTTACCAACAGTTATCCAGAAACAATTTCCAAGATATGTGATGATATCTACAATTATAAACAAATTCATTGTATGTACAACATTACCATAGTTTTGCTCAATTCTCATATTGTTTCAATATCATTATAATACACATGTTTTAAAATAAAATTGTTATAATGTACCTCCTTTGTATGTTAAATGAACCTTTCCCGCTGGCTGCTTGAATAACATACGATACATTGCCAAGCTAGTGCGCGATAGAGCTATTTGGGTAAGGGAGATAAGCATTCACGCTCAGTGATACAGCTTGAAAAAGATACGATATACAGCATTGCAAGGTCAGCGTGTAATAAAGCTCAATACTACGCCTATTCTCTTCCCCTACCCACAAACCAGACACAAATAACAAACACACGGTGTACGTCCCCTGCGGTACTAGTCGAAGGCCTTTAATTGTCTGCACCATACACATTGTATTAACTTGTATTCCTCCACGAGCCTCTATGGGTTCAATCGATAACCATCTCAGCTCCCTTGCTCTGACGCCACAGTAACGTTGTATCAAACTGTAAGATGATTAGCAAAGAACCTTTTCCGCAACACCCCATTTCCAACTTCTGAAATTAAAGCTGCTTGCTTTATGGCAAGACCTCAGGCAAGATGAACTACTAGCGCTATGACGTCACTCATATACTCCATACAAGCGCCCTCTATACATGAGTTACTACCCTTTGTATCTGGTGTGCGCATGAAGAGAAATCAATTTCATTCTAATTCATTCTATTCAAAGGAAAGAAATTTCATTAACTGAAGGAGATAATCGCTCAATGCGCAATAGTTTATTCTTGCAAAATATGGACCGGTTAACTGTAGCGAAAGGAGATATATCTCCCCTGAACATTTTAGCTCTTTTGAATACAAAATGAATAAATTGTGACATAATGTGACAGGTGATTGGTTAAAACATGTCCAGATTAGGTCACTCCCATTTCATTTTTAAAATGCTTTTTAGAGAAACCAAACTGGCGCACTCCTTCAGTCAAAAACAAACTAACCCTTATACTTTCCCGCCTTCAGGGTGGAGAAGCATAACTCTTTCTATGATAGCCCATGGGGGAGGCAAGGAGGAATATTTAGGGGTTTCCGAGGTAAGGATTGACAGTTGCTGTGAAATTTCATTCTCTTTCCCATGCAGTCGGAGCCAAGAATGCATTGATTCCTTAACTTCGGAGAAACTTGCCTGAGAAAAATGTAGAAGTGGACCATCTTGCCTACATGCCACATGAATGCAGCACTCCATGGATTGGGAGTACTTCGAATGTAATAGAAATAGTATTCTTAGAATTATTAACAATGGTAAATATTGTTCGATAATTCTTGCGAACCCTCTACATCTATTACATCTTTGCCAGAATATACCAGAGGGACCCGGTGGGATCTGCCTCTAGTAACTCCCTGTGTAATTCACAGTAATCCTCTTCTGGAAACTATTATTCACTGATTCTAATCCTGACTCGATATAATTTCCTCTAAATTTCCCCTTGAGGACATGAAAATCAGAAATGTATCAAGAATCAGTCAAATATGTGATACCTTCACTAGAATTACCGTTTTATTTGCTGATCTTGTTAGTAATAATGATGTCATTTCTGGTCTATTTCTACCCAATCACATCATTCCTTGTTAAGTTTGGATTTGTGTCACTAGTACCGGTGCTGACGGCACTTTAGGTGCTGACATCACTTCCGGTATGTCACTTCCCTTTTATTGGATATGACGTCTCTTTATGATCTATTTATGGTCAGATAGATTCCACTTGAGATGGCATGGTTTCCAATTGAGAGTCCACCATGTTTAAGTACAGTTGGTTTGTTTGTTTATTGTTTTACGCCGCACCCAGCAATATTCCAGCTATATGAAGGCGCTCTGTAAATAATCGAATCTCGACCAGACAATCCAGTGACTATTATCATGAGCATCGATCCTTGCAAATGGGATCGATGACATGCTTCAACCATGTCAGCGAGCCTGACCACCCGATCCTGTTAGTTCTTACAACAAGCATAGTCTCCTTTTACGGCAAGCATAGCTTGCTGAAAACCTATTCTACCCCGGCTCTTCACGGTTTAAGTGTAAATTGGCACGGCTCACATATGGCCAAAAACTATGGACACAATGCCATTTAGAAAGTAGTAAAATTTTGTGGTGCACGATTTTACAAACAAGATTGTCTCCCTTTTCAAAGTATATGTGTTCCAAATTAAAGATTACTCAATATAGTCACCAATCAGGTTATGGTGGAACAGTTACATGTCATACGTTTCTACCACTCTTAGCCCCACCAATGTCTTGTTAATAGCATGTTTGTCGATTATCAAAGTCATGCTATATGTCACTGTGTACATAGTGGTTGAATCATTGACTGTCAGTTATGAATGTAATCATATACAGTAGTACCATATGAAGCAAGTTAAGATTACAGCAATACAGACATGCTGATTTTGATCTTTGCATGCAATGTTTATTAACTACGGATACAATCATACCAGTTTGAGGTAATTAAGTAGTTTTTTATCAGCCACATATGCAATTACAGATACACAATGGCATAAGTGACTACCATCTGTTAACGTCATTTGAAATTTCTAGTGCAACTGAACAGAAAGCCTACACAGAGGTTAAGTGAGATTTCTAAATAAACGGGACAAAACTCACTTGATACATTCCTCATGGTACGTCTTTTCTCCCTCTACACTTTTCGTCCCCGGTGGGAGATCTTCACCACAGTATCCACATAGTAACATCTCATCGGGAATCCTTGTTGTTTACATTACCTAGAATGAAAAACGGAGAAATCTGAAATATAAATATATTTAACTTTCAAACAATTAATCACACTATTGTAGATGAGTGAAGCGCAGAATAGTCACTGCAATAGTATAAGATTTCAAACAAATGATTTTATTCTCATCACAGTGTGTTTACATACATAAGCTTTATTTGTCATGTCTTAGATGGATAAAAGATTGGTGTTAGTCATGACCTTTCACGCGCCTTAGATCCAGCATGAGCCGTGAATGACAACACATGTATAGTTAGATGTCCATAGGCAATCTACAAAGGGAATGTATTTACGTTTTGAGGGCTTCGAATTTTGGCGACTGTGACGTCATATAGTTTGCGTCACAATGAGCGGTATGACGGCATAATGGTGACGTGCGATGTAGAGCGAAAGCCTTGCAAAGCTTGCTTTGTTTTCTTTAGGGATGCCCAGCCTCATGTTAACCTACCAAGTTGCCGAGCCTATATGCTATCAATGGCTGTCATATGTTCGAGTGAAGTATTACAGTGTAAACAAACTGCTTGAGTATATACAGCGCCATTGTTTTTTCGGTGATTCCGTAATTCAGATCGACAACCCACTCAAAACACTGGACTGAACCCATGCCGCTTCACTCAGTATATTTGCTAACACCAAAGAGTTCGCGTTTTATTTAGTCATGGTAGAATGGAGATAAACATACCTCACGCTGCGCGTTCAGTTCCAAATTCAATTTAGCGCGGTTAAATCTACAGGTAACCTAGCTCTACATTGAAAACACAGTATGTTTATCTCCTAAATCTACATTCGGAATTAACAATTGGTAGTGTAGTAACCAGAGAACAGGCGGTAACGTCACTAACTGTCACGAGAGCTCAGATATGTGCTGCTCGTTTGCAAACACAGGGGACAACTTGCTCGGTTACTGCATGATGCTTTATAGAGACAAACTACACATGCTAGAAAGTCCGTCAAATTTCTTTTGAACCACCAATAACATGTAACATTTCTTCATTGGCTTGCCTGATCAACCTTTTTGTCGATCTACACATACTAATGAAAAAAGGTGACTTTGCTTTACAAACGAAAATATAAACATATTCTGAAATTAAATAATGCATTTTTTCATACATATCTATGAGTGAGTGAGTGAGCGAGTATGGTTTTACGCCGCTTTTAGCAATATTCCAGCAATATCACGGCGGGGGACACCAGAAATGGGCTTCACACATTGTACCCATGTCGGGAATCGAACCCGGGTCTTCTGCGTGACGAGCGAAAACTTTAACCACTAGGCTACCCGACCGCCCCACATATCCATGAAGACATCTCCTCAACTCTAAGGTCGTGATTCACAAACTGCACGTTCCTGTGGTTTTCTTAATGTGAAGTACACACAATGATTATTTATCACTCAGTTGCTCATAAATGATGCTTTCCCAATGATACCGCTTGCTGAAAACCAACGTCTACACGCAGTGGGGAAGCAACCAATAGGAATGGCGCAACACGAAGATGGCAAGCATTTAAAGGTTCATCTACAGCCGGACATCAATTATGTTTTGCCACGCGCCAGTCGTCCACCTGTGACATCGCGTCAACAAGACAACCATGTTTGGTTGGTGCAGCTAAGGATTCGATACCAAACTGCCAAAATAACAGCGATGCGTCCACCATCAGGCACGCCTAGCTTGGTGTAGACAGCATCTGAGGTTATCAGGCCAGCCCTGACGGTGGTGCAAGGATCTGAAGGCGTCCAGGAGAATGTTTTAGCGACGCTTGCGCTATTTAATGTCATCAGTTTGGGCATGGAAGTGTATTGCTATGGGATGGTATCCCAACTCATGAGAGAACACAGTTCATAATTGTTAATCACAGTTTGAATGGTGTACGCTGACATCATTCGAGATCATGTTCTACCCTTTGTGTAAATGCGGGGACGTGTTGCACGAGTTTTGTCGGTACCCAAGACTGTTTTCAATCATCTGCTGTCTTTAATGCGCCTCTGGTGCCTCGCCTGTATCAGCACCAATGATGGCCACACCCGATATTGACATTGTGATTGCGTTATTACACCACCTTCTCTTAGGGCGAGTCGCTCTGTCTTCTGTTACTAGGTATGGGTTTTATCCATGAATTTGTGATGATCAAATATTGATCAGACGAATCACCAAATAAAATATTGTTATCTTCAACCATTAAACTACTTTATATGAAGCACGGTTACCTTTTCTGATAGTATATATCAAATAAATACTGAATTATTCCTCTTATATGATTATAAGTGTCTGGCATCTGTAAAGAGTATTGAACTCTCTGCTTGTGGTATCAACCACTGGTTTGCCTGACCCAAACTCAATTAGTAATAGGTTGCGGTGATATAACTGGAATAGTTAGTAGTAGCAGCCTCTAAATAATAGAGTTTTAGCCTGGCAAACAAGTGGTTGACACTAGCAGAGGGTACGATGACATGATGATCAGCCATATCCCATATTTTGCAACTTTCCTATCTCATTAGTCGGTTCAGCCCATAAGGCTAGGTTTCCGCAATCACCACATGGGTAGGGTCTAATTTATTCAAACAATATTTTCACCCAAACACAATTCAGCTTTGCAAAGGAATAAAATATATTCCTTATATATGATCATATATGTTCCCAGAAAAGGGACCTGTCCGTGACACCTGTAGTAAAATGGAATGACAGAGAATTCCGAAAACTCATAATTTATTTATACACATGATCGAAATTACTGCAACCTTATTCACAAAAGCTTCATTCCCCAGGGTACATTGTTTTTGTAAAGAGGACACTACTTAGAGTTACCTTCATGTATGTTGCGTGTCGATTCCCAAATTGAAACAATATGTTAATCAAGAAATCTGTATGTAAAAGAACTGCGTGTGAAACCAACAACCAACAAGTTGTATACAATGCTTCACCCGCTTCATGTCAGTACAACATCTGTAACTACCATCAGGTTTGGGCACAAGAATGCAAAGTGAACTCCAGTCACTATGACTTGGTTAAGTAATATCATTGTCAGTAATAGACATGCCATCAAACTTGACAAAGTGACAATTTCCATTAGTATCACAATCTCATACAATATCCACAGGTGAAACAGTGGCAACTGATACTTTTTAATCACATTGACAAGAAAAAACCTGTGACTTTTTATGATCGTCTTGTGTTTGTACATCATAGTCAGTATCACTTTTCTGTCAGTTCTGTGCTACATAAAACATAAGTCATCACGTCAAAAGACCAACTAACCACATTAAACATTATGAACATTACCTACTTAGTGCTTGCCATTTAGTTTTGAACTTGGAGAAATTGACGTTTTACGCGTAGGAATCAAGCAGATATAAATCAAAATGAACCCATTCCTCTAATAAACATTGCATACAGGTTCAGAATCTATTCATAGTATTATTTAAAATCTTTTTCATTTATAGTTATCCAGCATGAAACGATGGTATTCGACCCCTCCTTTAGATTCAATTTAGGTGTTACACTGTCGGCTACGGAGGCATCAAGATGGCCACGTTCATGCAACGTCATTAGTGCTTTTAGAAGATCACGAAAATACGTACCTTTCCGTCTCATCACACAAGTGTTTAATGTACGAGGGCTCATGCAACACACCTAAAGTATAGTGTTCCAGATGATGTTGCACCACTGTGGCCGTGTGGCGCTGGTAAACTATTCCTGTGTTGTGACACAAGGGTGACAGTCTGAGGTCAATGTCATCATGATATTCAACACATTGATTAACTCAAGTAACGGGGACACAGATAATGATGGTGTTTGTGCTGCCCAGAAGTTGCATATACAAAAATCGTACTTGAATGGCAAGCTCCTCAATGTCAACATTAGCCAGAAATCACTCGAGTAATCACACCACTGTGCTGCAAGCAACACTCTGACCATGTGTTTTAAGCCAGCCAATCATTTTTGAAAATGCTCATAATCAGATTGATTTCCTTGCACGTAACCTGCCATGCAGGCTTGACGAAATAGACGAACTTGAGATTGCATGATATATTGTCGTGGCGAAATGCTTTTCAACTAGATAAGAAGGCTATAGGGATTTCGGGTTGACGAAGCAGTTTAGCTGGTGCCATGTGATATACGTCCTGGTTTGTATGAAAGACAACAGCAAGGTCTAGGGATCCTCATTTGAGGCATGACATTGTTTGTAGGTCAGAAATGTCACCCCACTTACGTATTTCGAGATAACACGCATCTCTTATTACAGGACCCCGCTTCGAGGCAGTCTTGCATAACAAACTGCACAAGGTGGGTTTTTTCAGACGTCTAGCACGCCTACCTTTCATGTACATTTGTTCCATTAGTGACTTCAGTATAGCGTATTGCGTGGGGACATACACGTATACGTAGGGAAACTCGGATAAGTAAACGTGAAATCTTCCGATTCTACATTAAGTTTTATACTTTTCTCTGTTTTCGTGAACATAATCTTTATAAGTAGATGCCTGCACACATTCTTGTAAAAACGCTCCTGTCAAAACTAGAAATACCACAAGAGACATTTTCACTTTCATGTATTTTCCAAATTACACTTTTTGATAGTAAGATAACTGTAGAACGCTAAAATACAACTTTCAAACAAACCACAATTAAACTGAAGTAGATGTGATTCCAATAGTATTGGTCAGATGTGGGAGGGGATTAATTTGTATGTTTACAATGTCTCAAAGCGAACACGTCAAATAGTCTTATTCATTGTGTTATATCGGCATATCTCGACATTTTGTGCGACTCTGTAATATATTTGAAGTCAAAATATAGCTAGAATATCACGGATAACAACAATCGTTGATTACAGATTACACATGCATGTCTAAACTGAGACACTTGGATCAGCCACAACTCAAGTCACAGTGTAACTGAAGTACCAGTTAGCTTCCAGTTAACGATTCCGGTTAGAATACGACCCTAGCAATATGCTCTTGTCAGAAGATTCGATCAGGTGGTCAGGCTAGATGACTTGGGTGATTACGCTCAACTGTGTCGGACGTTGATAACGAAGATTACATGACGTTCTTGTTGTTTTTAAAAATCGTTCTGCTGCTCTGATAGATGAAACGTCGGCGAATTTATAATTCATGTCCGCATGCTGCGTTGTTACAACCCTTAATGTAAGAATTACTCTTAATGTAAAAATATTGCTCAGATCTGAGAACAAGAGGGCTCTTATAAGAATGGCAGGCTCGTTATTGAGGACATGCCAGCTACTACTCTGGAATGATGAGCATCAGTTGTCGGCTCAAGTCACAGATCGCGACTCAAGTGGAACATCGTCAACTGTGGATCAGGAGCGGATGCTCCCGTCAAGGTTGAAGGTTATGCAAAAGCATATCTTACATTGCAAGATTTAACCAACAAACTGTCCGACATTGGCTTTGTTTCTTTTGTATCTGAAAATTGTTGCTTAAAATGAAACATAGTCAATAGAAAATTAATTTAGTGACATTTCCCAGAATATGAACTTTTTTGTTTATCAGCCACAAAAAGGTCCAAGTTCGGAAGGTATTCGGGAGGAATACTTTTGATAAAATATTAACTGGTAAGATATGTTATTGATGTTCGATACAGAGAACATGCTATTACTATTCTGTTGGATAAAAGTATGTTTGGTTTCAGTAGAGCTACATTATTTTTTGTTTACATATATCCAGCCGGAGAGATCGACCTGGTATGATAACAAAGATAGACAAAATGGCATAGAGATTTTGCTGGGTTTTTTTTATTGAGTTCACTGGAAGAGCACCAAGCTGTTTCTATCATTATACTTGGATTTGTTTGTTTGTTTGTTTGTTTGTTGTTTAACGCCGCACTCAGCAATATTCCAGCTATATGACGGCGGTCTGTAAATAATCGAGTCTGGACCGGACAATCCAGTGGTCGACACCATGAGCATCGATCCACGCATTTGGGACACGATGACATGCATCAACCAAGTCAGCGAGTCTGACCACCCGATCCCGTTCGTTGCATCTTACGACAAGCACAGTCGCCCTTTACGACAAGAATGGGTTCATAAAACCTATTCTACCCCGGATCTTCACGCTGTGACGATGTTATTCACCATGTTGAAAGTAATAATTACTTAGTAGATTTTTTGTGATAAATTACTAAATAACTTTGGCAAAGCTCTTTTGGAAACTAGTTCAATTCTGAACATACATATTGTGAATGGAAGTTTTGGAACTGACTATCGAATCGGGGACTGTACATGTATTGGGCTTTTAGTGAGTGAGTGACTCAGTTGGGTTTAACGCCGCTTTTAACAGTATTCGGTAACACCCACGCTCACGGGTATGGTGCTGACAAACCTAGGTTTGTCATAGGTTTGCTGGCGTTCCCAAGGGACGCAACTGTTCACAGCAAATCGCGGCGCCTTAGACGACTGGGCCACTCGTGCCCCCTATTGGGCATTTAGGGTGTGGTGTGATAGATTATGTTTTAGCATCGAGTGACATGTCCCCCGATGATGAAGAATGTCTCTGTAAAAAACATGAACGGTGCCATTATTTAAATGCGTTCAGAAGCTATAGATAACTCATATCTTATTAAGTATTACAAAGTTTACAATGAATGCAGAAAATTGTGTGGAATCAAGAAGGACCAGTTTGCACAATGTAAAAGGAGTGACCTAGAAAATGCAGAAGCGGTAGACTCTAAACGTTTCTGGGACATCATAAAGCATGAGTCTGGACGACCGCAACGACTCAACCCTCTTGATACACAAGATTGCGGGGACTATTTCTCGTCGCTGAATTCTGAACCAATGGGTATTCCAGATAATCTCTTCAGGTGTAGGATAGAGTGACATGTCAAGGTTATGTGCAAGAACTGACAATTGACATATCAGAATCCCAAATCACCAGATCCGAACTTTTTGAAAGCTTCAGTGCCAAGAAACATAATAAATAAGCTGGCCCTGGTGACATCTATGGAAGCCATTGTACAAACATGGTTTGAGCGCTAAAATGGGTAAAATGTTATAATCCATGTACAGTAATGTAAAGGATTGTGTTCGTTCAAACAACAGAGTATCCGGTATATTTGTTACTTCATGGGTGTGAGTCAAGGGTGTATGCTTTGTCCCTTTTTGTTTCAGTTTTTTTTTATAAACGGATTGGTTACTGAAATGGAACAAAATTGTCGTTTTGGTTACGACCGAAATTTATTTATATTTTTCTGCTTCTTTTTGCGGAAAACCTTATTGTGTTTGGCAATACTGTCAACAACGTAAAAATGAAGTTGAATATCTTGCACGATGACTGTTGTAAATGGGAAATGCCAGTATATCTATCGAAAACAAAAATAGTTGTTTTTCAAAAATAGGGGAGGTTTATCACGTTATGAAAAAATGGTATTATGATGGAAATGCGTATGAAGTAGTCACTGGATACAGTTATCTTGGCTTGTATTTTAGCAATAGATTACTGAGGTCGAATGCTTAAATGATATTGAAATTCAGGCAAGAAAGGTGTTCATGATCCTGTTAATTAGTATACATTCCTTGAAACCATACTCGCATCACTTTTACTTCAAATGTTTTTATACATAGATAACAACAATACTTTTATACGGGGCAGAAATTTGGGGATTCAGTGACATAGAACCGAGTTTGGCAGGTGTTCTATTCAGTAGCTCGATGTTTTGAAATGTGTCAAATATTGGCTGTCTCTTTATAATATGCAGGAATCTCGTTTACCCCAAAATATGTTACAATATGTTGCGGTTGTACGATGAACAAGGCCACGTCAACTGGATAACGAAACATAAAGCTGTTATTTTCAGATAAGGATTTGGTGATGTCTAATATTTTCAAACATGTGGTAATAAAACCGCATTTTAAAATATGTTACGTCAGCGGTTAAAACTTTTTTTCAGGTTTGGCATAGTGATCTATGCGAAAGCCCCTAAATTGTTCATTATGCACAGTTTAAAACATCCATTTCATGTGAGAACTATTTGAGCTGTTTAACTGTAAATAAATTCAGGACCGCATTGACTCATTTTCGGCTCAGGCAAAGTATTTACATCTTCCCAAATATTCTGATGTTTAATACACTACTGTCATCGCAAGACCCTATTATCAATACCCTATGAATACAGAAAACTTCTTGTTTTACGCCAATGCTGTAAGAACACGCATACTCCAACTTTGATAATACGCAATAATGTTAAAACTGCTTTTTCAAAAATGCAAAGGAATGTGTTGTATTTTATACTGTTTGCACCTAAATTGTATTTCGTTTGTACAAAAAAGCCCGTGGCCTACAAATACTGAATAAAGTGAAGACTAATTATTCGTAATTGAATATATTCTTCCTTCAACTGTGCGCGATTTCTCAAGAACAACAAAAAGTAGAGCCATGGAACTTATGTAAGCGCACTGCACCTTTCATAAATCCAACAACCTCTCAACAACAACAATCTGGTCGGTATTTACAGGGTTTTTTATGGGTCATAACTGACGATTTTGATACATCTTGGTACAAGGGTGTATCTAGGGACATTGTACAATATGACTTAATTTACGTTACTACCTTGCTTCCATAGAAACGGAAAGGGCATCTGCAGAGCTGATTAATCCATATTCAGAGATTTCGTTCAAATTTGGTATTTAGATGCAATGTATTTCAGGACTCAGCCGAATAGGTTTTCTTACCATCATGGCAATATAACAGAGGCATCTGATTGGTCGAAATTTAGATAGCTAACCCTATTTAAGAAACAAGGTGTGGATGATCAGCACAACATACATAAATATAACCTCATTCAGAAATCCAAGATGGTCTCACAGACGCCATTTTGTAATTTACAGAT